GCCTAAGGAGCCATGGGAGACTTAAGGAGGGATGAAAAAGTTTTAGAGAAGGGGAAAAGAAAGCTTTTAGAGATCCAGAGACATTGGCATATCCCTACAACTCACTCTGGTGTTGGGAGAATGAATGGCTGCTGCGTGGGAGTGTGGGACTCTCAGGCCTCAGCCCTCATCAATTAGAGGGTCAGGAACCGAGACAGCAATGCCACCTGGTGGTAATACATTAGAGGACATCTGAATTAGGAATATAAAGTGAAAATTATAAGTAACTAAAATGAATTAAATTATTATGAAGATGAAGATGGCCTACAGTCAGTGGGGGACAATAGAAAAAACAGTGGGCTAGGAATCAAAAGAGCTGGGATTTAGCCTTGGTTCTGCTGATGACCTTCTGCTCCTGGGTAAATCGCTTCACCTTCTGAACTTCAGTGTCTCATCCTAAAATAGAGATGCTCCTTCTTGCCCAGCTTATAACCCATAAAGTTGCTATAAGACCCAAATTAAACGTTTGTTAAAAGACCTTGAAAACTTCGAAGAGCTAAGGTTATTACAGTTGTTTCCAGGATACATACATAGCAGAGATCAAATTTGAACAAAAATATCCAAGTCACAAAACATCTCCTATGCCTACTACCGACACTCTAATTAGAAGCTGTATTTCATTTTCGATTTGATTTGAATCCTAGTACTACAAAAGGATAGCTGTTGAATGCTCCTAGAGGGCAGGGGCTATCTCTTGCCTTTTTGTATCCCTCACACTTAGCATAGTGCCTAGCACCTAGTAGGTGCTTAATGTGTATTGATTGATTGCTTATTAGAATGCACAACCAAAACTATGCAAAAGGTATATACAACTCGTCCACTCCAAGACCTTGGAATTCTGGCTCCAGTCTTCATGTCAGAGTCTGGGAAACTCTCCATCCCACTTTAGGTCTTGCCTCTGGAGGAAAAGATATGGACATTGTCTAGTTGTAGCACTGCCATGGTTTAGTGAGAGGAACTAGGGTTGTAAAGCTGGGACTCTGGCTGTGAAGCAGAAGTTGATGGCATCCTTGATACCATTCTTCTCCTAATGTGCTTCCTAACTCTCTGCACTTAGCTGCCTTCTCACCCTAGGACTCCTCCTAGTGCCTGGGGCCCTTCCCCAATGCTCCTTCCCCACCCCCAGGCCTCGGCACCATTTCCTAGTGGTGAGTTCTTTCCAGGACCTCCATTTTGGATTCAGGTCCTTGGCAGCCACATTTCATTCCTTTATAACCTATCCCCCCTGTCACTTTTCCAGTCATCTCACCCATAACCCACCCCTCCCCCAACTTCTACCGAACTCTTCCAACCAGTGACACTGGCTTCTTGTTACTCCTTGAACAAGATACTGCATCCCTAGGCATTAGGCATTTTCACTGGCTGTCCCCTTGCCTGGAAGGCTCTCCCTCCTCATCTCTGCCCCTTGGGCTTCCCTAAAGGCCCAGCTAAAACTTCACCTTCTACAAAATGTTCTTCCCCAAAGACTCTTACTTCTAGGGGTAAGGGAAGGTAATAAGCATTTATATAACACTACAGTGCCAGGCACTGTGCTAAGCACTTTTTAAATTATTACCTCATTTGATCCTCACAACTCAGTAGATGCGATTATTACCTCCACTTTATATTTGAGGAAATTGAACCTTAGCTCTTTCGATTCTCTCCTATTTATCCTGTATATAGCTTGTTTATACGGTTGTTGGCATGTGGTCTGCCCTATTAGACTGTGCTCCCTAAGGTAGGGACTCTTTTGCCTTTGTGCTCCCATGCTCAGCATGTTAGGTGATTAATAAAGCTCATTGACTGACTTCATTCCCCTCCAGCCTGTGATCCCGATTCTCCCACCTAGCCTCTGACGCTTTTTACCCTGCGACCTCCCTTAGTCCTGGGGCCTTTTCACCTTGGAACATTCCTGGGCTAAACTGATCTCATCTCCCATTAGGTGTTCTTCCTGGGCAATCTGGGGATGGGCCCAAGCAGCCAGGTTTTATCCTCCTCCTCCCAGCTATGCTTCTGACTTTTCCAAATGACACCATGCCCTCCCCACATACTCCCTTCAACTCCTCTTTTATGTGCTGCCATTCCCCACCAGAAGGTAAACTCCTTGTGGGCAGGGGCTTTTTTCTAAACTTGCATTTGTATCCCTAGTGATTAGTACAATGCTCGGTACATACTAAGTGCTTGATATATGTTTGTTGCCAGCCTGCCTAAGAAAGCAGTCTTTTCAATCTAAACAACACTGCTACATCAGAGCTGGACTCATGTTCAGCGTACCTGAAGGGAGAATACTTAGAAAAGGAATAAGCAGCGATAGTTCCTGTACTAGAAAAAGTTTAAATCTAGTTGTAAACAGATAGAGGCTTTTTAAGAAATGTAAAATTTCTCACCCAAACAAATGGTCCAGACAATCCTTGTATTTAAATATTTATTTTCATTTCACAAAAAAGCAACAGTGTATGCAGTTACACATGCTTTTCGGTCAGTGCTGGTTATATGCAAAACAATTTATCGAAGTATAAAGAAAATAAGCCTTTCCCCCCCTTTACAAGTGAAACTAAACACATCTGCATATACAATATCATATATACATCCTATTTTCAAAAATCTCTCACCTAAAAGCAAGTTATGATACAAGCTTAGAATTTCACTGGCCAAAGCAGCCACAAGATTTGTATTGTATACTCCTAAAGGCATTAAAATACAAAAGTGTAATTGTTTTACAAGTTTCTAAGTTATTTATCCCCAAAGTACTTTGAAAGCTACTTTTCTTTATAGCTATGGTACCTGGCTTTATCAAGACTTAGTTGGACTAAGACTTAGTTATAGGATTTAGTTTTCTCTCAATGTGAGTTTAGTAGGTTGATGCAAATGCTCCATTTGTATTATCATTCTACATATTCTCATATATACAGACAAACATATATTATATATTTTACTGATGGTTTGTTTCTTTCAGTGCAACTTCTGGAGCATTTTATTCAATCAGGCCAAAACTAATTCTTTTTGAAGTAAATATTTTAGATTGAGAACCATACAGAATTTACTAAATCACCACCATGACTAACTCAAAAAAGGTGCCCTTTCTCCCTTATTCATGGTCACATATAAACTTCTATATTTCTACTACAGCAGCAGGTTTAAGTAACAGCAAAATATAAACTAATTTTTCAACAATATAACCTGAGAGTTTAATATAGTAAATAACATTTGTTTGCAACTTTTCCCGAAATCATGTGGCATTCCTGAAGTCAGTGCCTTTGGGGAAAAAAAAATAAAGTAATACAAACCTTTAGGACTGAGTAGCATCTTAATAAATAGCAGTAAAAACAAATTATGTTAAGATGCTATTAAAATGTTTACACATTCATTTCCTTTGATATAACCAAATGTGGAACAGTAACATTTACCATGTGTCAGATGAAGCAACTGTGAAATATGATACCAGAATGCTGAAAGCTAACATACAAGTCTAGTGGATACATGAAAAGCATACAAAAATGTACAGTTAATGAGGCAGCCTTATTTTACATTTCAGAGCGCAATAAAAGATAACATCCTCTAAGACAGGCAACAATAAAAATTAAACCAGGGAAAGGAATGTTCTATCTAATAAAAAACAGGTTGACAAAGATGGGGTCACAAATCAGGTATTGGGGCATGGGTGAAATTCTTAGCACACAGACACAAGGGAGAAAAACCTACTACCTCAGATTTGATGTGGTAGAGTTTTCAGAACCTTAAACTCATCTATATATTTGACCGCAATGTAGGAACACAAGATTTGAAAGCATCACCCAATATGCCATACCCTCATGTAGACCCTTATCACCTCAGAGCTGGACACTAAAGGTCTGACCATGTTAACACCTCCCTCCACTGAATAAACTCCAGTGGTTCCCTATCACGTCCAAGACAAAACATAAAATACTCTGTTTGGCATCCAAAACCCTTTGTAATTTGCAACCTTTACACATTTCAGGTCTTCTCACATCTTACTCCACCCCCTCAGGCCCAATACTCTGAAATCCCACACAAGTTCCTCACACCAGACTCTCTATCCCCTGCCTCCATGCATTTTCACTGGCTGTCTCTTGTGACTGGAATTCTCTTCCTCTCTACCTCTGTTCTCCTGCCTTTCCTTAAGTCCCAGCTAAAATTCCACCTTTTACAAGAAGCCTTTCCTGATTCCCTCTCTTGATTATCTCCAATTTATCCTGCACAGAGCTCATTTGTACACAAGACATGCTGTATTCCCCATTAGACTGTGAGCTCCTGGAAAGGAAGGACTCTTTCACCTTTTTTATGGTAACCCTAGAGCTGAGCACAATGCCTGGCACACAGTAGATGCTTTGTAAATATTGCTGACTGACACTACTTACCAAGTACATACTTACACGTTGATGAAGCAACTAAAATGGCCTTCTATAGACCAGATCTCCTACCTAACAATTCTCAGGAGGGCTGCATTTTTATAATCCTTTAATTGAGACCTTGTAACAGCCAATGATATTATTTTATAGGACCATACACAGCTTTATTTTTATATTACTGGAAGATTACTCTCCTCTGAGCCTTCTTTTACTGCCCACCCAAATATACACACTACTAAAAATTTGCTTTGCTGAGATTTTCAATATATTTTTATTCCTCACAAGTAATGATGGATATGATTTGTTTCCATAACTGATCTGTAACAAAAGCTCCCTTCCTTCTTTCTAAACAGTCACTCATCTCATTTGTTCCACATCTGCTACTATTAACAAGGACAGCACATTGGCGCAATCTTAAGCCAAGTGGCAAAGATCCAGAGATCCAACTTAAAGCAAAGCAAACCAGTGAGATTCCAAGGCTGCTTATAAAACAGGTGTACTGGGAGTTGCCAAGTACATTTGTAGTAATTAGATAAACACAGCCATACATATTGACTGCTAAAGATTAATTAGTACCTGGAAAAAAAAGACTGGGGGGAAAAAAAAGCAAAACCAAATTATGGATGCATGTGTAACATGCATGTCTATGTACATTTGGAAAAAAAAGAAATACACTCACCATACCAAATACACCCAGGAGATAATAAAAGCATCTGGGGCTAGAGGGAAGGAGGGAGATACAGTGCACCTGATTTTAATTCTCAGGGCAACTCTAAAAACCTAGCTCAAATAGCTATATCCTTGAAAATTATTTATCTTCTACAATCCTGCAATACTCACTTGAAAATATATATTTAAGTGCTCTGAGTGTGCAATGGTTTGGCTGTAGGTCACAGTTCTTCATGGCATAATTCTAAGCTTGGTGCTTTCAAAAATCTTACTCAATGGCCCTATTCTCAGTAGGCTATCTGCACCATAAATGCTTAATAAATAAATGCTTGCTGAGTAATTCAACTCACAATATTTATGGTTTTGAGATCCCTTCATATTATTTTCAAATTTTGAGTTCTATTTATCAATCTAATTCTAAATCCAATCAATTTTTGAAAACAAGATTGTATAGGTTGTTCTCATTTTATTCTCCACATTTACAAAAATAGATATTAATAAACTACCATTTGGGAAGAAAATGAGTGTAGGTTGGAATCTGATGAATAGAATTATCATAGATTCTTGGAATATATGAAACTCTCCAACAATGCCCAAATACCATAGTTGCTTTTAAAAGTGGCTTATAAATAAGCTTAATAAAATGGAAAAAGGCACTGGCTCACGACAGAAGTTTCAAAAAGCTTTGCAGATGAAAACATCCAATCATTTGTACATTGAAAATAACACATTTTGGGCAACATACTTTTGCTTTGACCAGCCTTAAGGTCCACTGCTTCAAAATGAATGGATTTTCTTTCACCATTCTCTACTCTACATGCTATGTGCCCAAACTCTATTTGGACAAGGCATACACTCTACTTTGTTCAAGAGTCATTTAATTTTCAGGCATCAATCTGCATTTATGCAAAAGCATGCTTTGGCTTCTATGCCTCCATCTCCTGGGCCTCACTATCCCAATGTCTTAGGTGAGACAACAAAGTTTAGAGGTTGAAAAGATAAAAAAAAACAGATTTTGTACAAAACTGTTTCCACTGTACTTTAATCTTTTGAGCTTTAGTTTCAAAAACAGTTGTCCTGTGCATGGGTTCAGAATAAGCCTAACACTTTATCAAGTATTTAGCTCAATGGGTACAACACAGAGGCATGGAAATAAACATCCTCTGAAGAAGAGGTCAACAATGGATCAAGAGAAATCTTTTCTTCCATAATGCTCAGCACAGAGTATTCGGTTCCACTTATAGTGCCACAGTTAAAAAGAACAAGTAAATTTCAAAAGAAAAAATGCCTTAGAGCCTGAAAATGTACTATATATATTGAAAAAAACAGTATAACAAAGGGCAAGTATGGCTAAGGAACCTCTACTTCTAAATCTGAGAAGTATCAAAGAAAAATGTAAAATACTTCATAATACAATATGGTAAAAAAAAAATCCTCCAAAATTTAACTGTTTTTTCCCCCGACTTCCAAATTTAGGCTCATGAGAGTCTCCCACATCGATTAATCTGTCCCTTGTTCTTCTAAGCATAGATGTAGGTAAAATTCCTAAATTCCCATAGTCTCAACATGACACCCTGGTTACCATGATTGTCAGGTTATTATGTTTTCTATTCTGAAATTAATGGAACGAGAAAGAAATTGCACTGGACAAAGAAGAAGAGACCATCATTTCCTTTTTTTAAAAAAAAAAGTTATTTTGTAATTTATGTTACTTTTAAATTCAATATAAAAATATCTTACACAAAATAAAATATAATTTCATACATGATCTCACATATAACTTAAAATAATAGATATTCCACTAATAACTTGATACTATTGAATGAAAAATGTACCCTTTCCTATCGTTCAACTATGCACATTTTTAAAGTGCACACAAAGGGGTCTATTTTTAAAAATAGAAATTGTTTTAAAGCAAATTGTGAAAGAAACAAGAATTTGGAGAAGGAGTGAAACAATAATCTAGGACTGTGTCTGCATAGTTCAAATTATTCAAGTACAGTATCCCCTACTTAGCCTCAAAGAGAAAGTCAGAATGCCACAGTTCAACCTGCTTTAGGGTTTGGGGAGGGGAAGTTCTTTACTGTTTCCTTAAAACTAATTGTTACTTTAATCAAAATAACAGAAAAAGAGGTTTTGAATTATGTACTATTCTTAAAACCAGGAAAAAATCAAAGCCAAACATTTTTATAATGAGCTTCATTTTATTTCCTTTTCACACTATCTTCCAGGTAAAAAGTAAAATATCACATGAGAAATTTTGGTTTCTAAAATGTCCTGAATTAAAACCATAACCCAATATACTTCTTCATCAAGTCAAATAAAAGTACTAAAAAATGTAAGTGAGGACAATCTAGTGAGAAAATTTCTTTAATGTGTATTGCAACTAAAGCAATGGAGAGTCAGACTTAAAAGATACCAGTGCTACCAGAACATAAGACACACCATTTAATGATATGTCCCTAAATTCAAAGGTTAGGGAGTAGGCTGGGCTATTGGAGTATATGACAGTGATTTTGGTTTAGGGTTTTTTTTTTGGAGGGGGGAGGAAACTGCATGGAAAAATCAGTAGTTAAGGAAAAAGTTAACTACAATTAACATCTGATCCAACCTGGAGTGATTTCCTATGGCAATGTTTTACGGAGTGCTCAAAAGTAAATATACACACATGTCCGAATACATGAAGAGACACATACATACATACACACACACACACGCAATGAAAACAGACCCAACAATTTAGACTCTTTCCTGATATTTGGCTTTCATATATAATAGATATTTTTAATATCTGTAGCACCTGGCTACTCAGCAGACAAAAATACATACAACAGTTCTATATCCTACTTAAAATGAAATAAAAAATAAAACCATTTGGATACTCATAATTTGAAGCCAAAACCAATACTAACACTTGGCTTTAATTCATTATAGCTGTATGTTTCATTATCTGGCTTCACTACGAGACTTTCCGAGGTTTTACTAGGCCTCACGTTCTGAACAGTGTCTATAAACCATGAAGCAACCAGGGGCTTGGCATTAGGGACACTGATAAACAAGAATTTTGCAAAGAAGAAAGCTTACATAGTAGCTCTTTTCTTGGTTGACTGTGTCAATACTTTTCCAATACTGAGATCCCAAACCAGTTTCAAAATGGAGTCTCGCCTCCCCATCCCCTTTCATTTGTATGTTTTTAATTTAAAAATTCTTGTAGATGTTTGGTTCCATAATAAATAGCCTACATCCTGCCCACAGGCACTCTAGAAAACACAGACGAAATATCAAAAGAATGTGCCCTGAGCTCACTAGAATACCTAATAGTGCAAACAGCATTGCAGTGACGTCTGGTTTCACCGTGGCTTTTGCAAAAGCAACAACAGATCAACATTTCACAAACTTTCTGAATGGTGAACACAAAGAGATGATGTCATGTACTCTACAGCCAGAAAGACAGATTTTTTAAGTTCTTCTCCATCCACTGGATATTCAGCTGGATGATCTGAATGGCCTCCTTGACGCAACGGAGTTGTGAGGTTGCCTCTGACTGGGCTTCAAAGAACGTCTGTACCTAGAAGGTTCACAAAGTCATGTTTTAAAAAAGAAAGTAAAATCACACATCTGAATTATTCCTCTTGCAAAAAAGACACACAGTGGTAAGTAATGGTGGAGGGGTAAAGGACTGGGAAACCTGAGGTACTGTCCTGGCTAAATGCTATAATCCCAAATATTCTAAATGGACACAGTAATATCTTTTTTTTTTTAAGAAAAATATTTTTTTCTCACTTTTTTTTGAAAAAGAAAAAAGGGAAATTACCTTCTTTGCAGCCAAAATTAATTTTGAAAAAACTGTATTCCTATATGCAAGTTTATTTATACTAACACATTTGTTTCTCAAGTGGTTTTAATTCAGAATATTATTAATTCTGGAGAAGTATGGGAAGGAAATAAGGGACTTCAAAAGTCAAATACTATGAACTCTATGCCTTTTATATTACATAACAATATATGATGTATAATTATCATGTTTTTACCATGTATTAATGAAGTATTTTGCATTTCTCTTTTATATATATTTGGCTTTATCATATTTATAATATTAATATTTATAGTATAACTTATATTATTATATTATTCTGTACCTTCCCCAAAAAAAATTACTTGGCATATATTTTGTATTTACTTATATATTCCTCTTCCCTGCCCCAAAGTAGACTAGAAGTTCCTTGAGGGGAGGTATTGTTTTATTTTGTCTTTACATCCCTGGTATTTGTCATAGGGCCTGGTGCATAAAAGGCACTTAATACATACTAAGTGAATGGAAGAACCACTCTCCGGGAATTCAATTTCAAGACGTCCGAAGACAAAACAAAGAAGGACTGTAACGACAGTGTGGGCAAACAACATCTCAACCATATTGATTCACCTCAGTGGGAGACAGTTACTCAGTCTCCTGGTATTTTACATCACTAACCTCAGACAAATGTGTCTTTGTTGAAAACAGATGAGTTGTGTCAGCAACAATACTCTGAATGGTATAGGATCCTAAATGGAACCTGGTGAGGAGACAGAACCACAACAAAAATAAATGAAAAAAGTGCTACTAAAACATTATTATTAAGTGTTTATGAAAACATTCTGATTCTGCTGTGGATGTCAAAGATGCAGGAATGGAATTCCTACCTTTAAGAAGTCAACATCTGAGCTTTACTAAAACAGAAGGATCCTGATAAAATGTAAATCTACTGAACTAACACATTCTATACCTCCACAAAGAATCTACTTGCATCTTCCAAAAACACATAGCACATTATCATGCCACAGAACACGGTGGAATATTCTTAAGTCATTCATTTACTACAGTAAGCGTGAAGGAGCTGCCTTTCCAACATGCACGGTACCATCACAGCAGCCAATAAGCAACCTATAGGTATGACACCTGCAATCCTGGAAATGAAGTGTCTAATACTAATACTTGGAAGAAAAACAATGATTACTTCTTAAAGATACTGTACTTTAATAAAATGTCACAGATCAAAATTATTGCTATTGAAAACATTTTTGTTCATCCAGAAAACCAAATTTCAGCCCCTGTGGAAGCTGAGAACAATTGGGTACCTTCTTTATAGACCACAGAATCACAATAATCTCAAGTTAACACTTCTTTGAATGACTTACTTCTGCACAAGCCTATTCCAATTCTCTTTGACAAAATCCCACGCCAATAAATGCCCGGCAAAACTTCGACCAACAGTTTGGGTGATGAGGGACAGTTTCTGTGACCGGATGATATCTCCATCAAGACTAGCTTTCAGTAACCTAAGGAACAAAGCATAAATGATTTAGCCCCCTTAAGTAACTCATAGTTAAGCTTCTTCTTACTGAGCCAACAATTCCCAAGTTGAAGTTGGGCATTGGGATAAAAATCTCTTAGTAACTGCTTTTAACTCAAGGAGAAGAACACGAGTGTAAATCACTTAGCCTGTGACTCATCATCAGAATTCAAGTTGCCTTTAAGTTTAAAATGCTCAAAGCATCAAATCAACCAGATAAGTGCTATTAGCATCATATATAAGCCTAGATATTTACAAATGGCTACATCTGAACTGAGGACTATGAAAAATAAATTCTTCAAGTGTAACAGAATATAGAGCTTAATTTAGAACCTGGACTTCCTAACCACCAATTTGGGACAAATTTTTACTGGTCTGTAGCACTTCAATTATCTAAAGGTTCTGACTTTTTTTTTTTGGCTAGCCAATGGGGTTAAGTGACTTGCCCAGGGTCACACAGCTAGTCAGTGTCAAGTGTCGGAGACCAGATATGAACTCAGGTCCTCCTGACTCCAGGGCCACTGCTCCATCCACTGTGTCACCTAGCCGCGCCTGGTCCTGACTCTTCATAGCTATCAACTAAAACAGCTTCTTTTTGCATCTTGTTTACCTCTTTTAAATTCGGCACCTTACTTCTCTTGGCTTCTGATTTCTTTAACCTGACCCACAGAGACCCTCTGTGCTGAGAGGCAGAGAGCACAGGAGAGTGGTCCAAGGTAGAGAACCTAGATACTTGACTGGTTCTTCAATATAGCCTAGATTCAGAAACACTGCCTTAGACAGCTCTTGTGAATTGTAAATAGATTAAATATCTGACTACCTACAAGCTGCCAGGTCTCTTTAAATGAACCTGTGTTAATGAGTATAAAGGTAGCGTATTCAAATACAATAAACTATTTGACTTTTGCAACTAAGTCACACAAATATACACACACACACATACACACACACATCCCTGTTGTTGACCCTTTGAGAGCAGATGGAGTAAAATCTAGGATGTGAGTATTCTTTGGCTGCCATTCTAGCTATGTGGCTTTGCCTACAGAACAGACTCTACACTTTGCAGATGAAGAAATATAGAATATATTCCTAGAGGCAAAACTCTTATCCAACAATACCCAGACCCAATCAATTTAAAATTAAAATATGTGTGTTTGTGTGTGTTATATATATATATACGTATACATAAATAAAACTGTCCAAGCTGCTTGGTGTCAGGGTTGACACCTTAAATTAAAACAATGTTTTGACTAATGTGACTGCACATGTATAAACTATATCAGATTACATACCATCTTGGGGAGAGGGGAGGGGAGGGGAGGGAGGGAGGAAAATGTAAAAAATGAATGTTGAAAACTATCTTTACATGTAATAGGAAAAAATAAAATATTATTACCAAAAAAAAAAAAAAAAGAAAAATGTTTTGTAGGTCTGTTATTAGTTCAACCCAAGAGAAGTCTCTGCATGTTGGACAGGGTCTAGAAGGATGCCTAGGGTTTCCATAAGGACATTACCAGGGTCAGCTTAAGCAAACTTAAGAAGTAGGAGAAATCTGTCTTTGGCATCCTTCTAACTCCTCTGTTCTGTGTTTTCTTTTCCATTCCTAGAGTCCTGCGCCCCCTAAGTAACAAAACTCACATTAACATATCGTTTAAATTTGACAAAGGAGGACTAGGCCTAGAGCCAGAAGACCTGAATTCAAATCTGTCTCAGATACTTATTAGCTGCCTGATCTTGAGCAAGTCACTTAACCTCTGCCTGCTTCAGCTTCCTCAACTGCAAAATGAGGATAATTATAGCACCTTCCTTCCAGGGTTGTTGTGAGGATCAAATGAGATAACACTTGTAAAGTGCTTAACACAGTGCCTAGCACATAGTAGGTGCTTAATAAATGCTTTCGTCCCTCCCTCCAACAATGCTGTGAGGTATATAGCATTATCCACATTTTACAGATAAGAAAACTAAGTGTACATAGCATATTATCCACATTTTACAGACGAAGAATCTAAGGCCCACTTAAGTTACTTTACTTAAGAACTAAAATAACATTTCCAAGGTCACAAAGCTGCTAATGTCAGGGCAGTGATTTGAATTCAGGGCTTTCCTGATTCCAATTCCAGTTCTTCTCTGGTCGTGCAGCTCCTCGGCATGGTACATAGGCCAGCCTTCTCTGACAGGGACCCAGCCTCCAAAATGTTCTGTCCTTTATAGGCCTACCTCCCCAATACAGATCCTATTCTCTAAGGGCCTTAATACATGCTGGCTAATAAGGAGGAAAAATATTTGAGAGAGCAACAATGGGTCACCTTATCTATGGGTATTCTGCCTTTTAGAAAATCAAGGTTGGAGCAGCTAGGTTGTGCAGTGGTTAGAACACCGGCCCTGGAGTCAGGAGGACCTGAGTTCAAATCCAGCCTCAGACACATAACACTCACTAGCTGTATAACTCTGGGCAAGTCACTTAATCCCAACTGCCTCAACAAAAAAAAGAAAAGAGAAGAAAAGAGAAAAGAAAAGAAAAGAAAAGAAAAGAAAAGAAAAGAAAAGAAAAGAAAAGAAAAGAAAAGAAAAGAAAAGAAAAGAAAAGAAAAGAAAAGAAAAGAAAAGAAAAGAAAAGAAAAGGAAGCCTAAACAAGGCAAGCTTTAACTTCAAAAGAATAAATCTCTACTGGTAGACTAGAGACACTATGGCCAATAAATGGTGGGCTGGGCCGTTCTGCAAAGAAGCAGGGAAGACTTCCAAGCACATTCCCTCCCTGCCATCCCAGGATACTAACTACACAGGAGACTGCCTATCCTACCCATGTGGGTGAGGCCAACTCTTGTCTCAGACCATCAGCATATCCTAAAAACACACCTAAGATACTGAGTAAATTGTGTAAGATGGGCCAACTTACACAATTAAGAAATCGCTCATAATGTAAAAGTAACAGGGTTCCAAGCAGGGTTAAGATTCAAAATGTATGTTTCCTAATTCTCTGGTGATTTCATACCAGTGAAGTTTCCGTACATCCTCTGAGCTGGCAAGAGCTTTAAGGATTTTGTTTCTTTCAGCTTCTGATTCTGAAGAGCCATACTTTTCAAACAAGAAGGTCCAGCCTGCCTCAGTTTTTGCTCCCACCTTGAACACCACTGACATGACATCAGTCGGCAGGCTAAAAGACAGAGAGAGAGAGAGAAAGACAGTCACAAATGAGAAACCAGCACATATAGATCGACAGCCAAGCTGAGACTTTCATGGAAGGGGGACATTCTAGTAGAGGAAACTTATCTCAAGCACCACACAGAGGCAGAGGGATCTTTACTGTGAGGGGCAAAGGAGAAGGTCCAAATCACAGAACATACACCAGCTTAAACACTTCTTGGAGATATAAATCACACATTGATAAAAGACAACTTAGGGAAGAAAAGATGACTGACAATATGGTGGCTTTACTTTTCTCTTGATTTGTGGAGTGTGAATATCAAAAGCAGCAGATTTCGTCTGTGCTGAGCCTTCACATTCCAATCCTGTTTCTTCTCTCCCCTGATAACCAGGAACAAGTCAATCTTTCAGCTGTGAAAAATACACAGCTACCTGAAAATAGCCACTAGCGGCTAATTTAGCCTTCTCTTAGAAGCATGCTTTCTCCCTCTTATCAAAAGGCTGAAAGAGCAGGAATGTTTGCCTGAACATATCAATAGGCTCAGATTGCACTCACTAACACAAACTACCAAGGAAAACAAGCAAAAGGAGGAAAAACGAACACCACTCATAGCTTCGCTGCACAGATGGCTAAGTAAAATGATCACTTTTTTCAATAAAGTATTTTTTTTTTTGCTAGGTAAAATTGAGGGAGAGGGGACAATGTAACAACAGCAGAAACACATACATCACCTTTTAGTACCATTGGAATCTACCCATTCTTGAAACAGCTTCATGGCCTCTGTGTTACAGTTCTCCAGATGATGGGTGCAGGCAAAGCTAAGCAGGATTGACCGAAGTTCTCTCTTTGATGGGGTCCCCTCATTGGTCCAAGTTTGTTGTTGGATTTGGTGTTGCAGCAATTTTGCCACCCTGGTCTAAAGACAGTATTAAAGGGAAAAGGAAACAATAGGAAAATCATCCACCAAAAGCATTTATTAAAGTCTGACTCTATGTCAGGCATTGTGCTAACACTGGGAATATGAAGTGAGGCAAAAAAAAAGTCTCTGCCCTCAAGCTTACATCTAATGGGGGAGACAACATGTACCTGTGCAAGGCTGATAAAAGAAACACACAGAGTAGATGCAAGGTCACCTTAGAAAGCTAAGCAGATAGTTTCTTAGCAAAACTTTATCACCAAAGCTCACTCAAAAGGAAAGGGAAAAACAAAGACCACATAATATCAATTGTTTTTTTCCACACCTTAAGCTAAATGTATTTTTTAACAGTTTATCTTAACACTGCTGAGTGATACTACCCCAGATGGGTAGGCTGTGACAGTACAGGTCTGAACCCCAGCAATACCCTCCATGAGGTTGAGGGATGGAAAAATGATGGTTTTTTTCTTTAGAGATGCACTACCAAGTGTTCAGGTGGTATCTGAATCAATGTGCAAGAGCAGGATTCTTAGGTCTCTCCCAGTTCTAAGTCCACGAACCTGAGAATAAGTGAAGATCTGGAGACAGAGTTTGGAATAGTGGAAAAAAACACTGGATCTGGAGTCAGAGAGTCTCATCTCAAAGCCTGTCTCTGCTATTTACAACAAGTCGCAGCAAATCCCTAAGTCTCAGTTCCTCTATCTATAAAGTGAAGAGGCAAGACCAAAGCAAAGACTAAAGGTCCTTTCTATTGCTAGTATTCTTAACCCTGCAATATTTATGTTTCTGTATAAGGAAGTTAAGGGGAACCATTAAGCCTAATTCTCCACTTGCACATTTAAATTTAAAAAGTTTAAAAAAAAAGAGGGGAGGAACAGATTTATGAGATCTTCAAAGATGAATAAAATACTTTAAAAATAAGGTGTTCGTATTCTTACCTGCCCTTCGCTTCCATCCCAAATGACTTCCAAAAATGATGTAATAAAAGATAACAGAATAAAACAGAAAGCAAAAGTCCAACAATACACTGCTCATAGGAAACATGCTTGCACATGCTTGACAGTTAGAATAAAGGGCTATAGCAGAAGTCAAGACTTAAGAACTCTGATCAATCCAATGGCCAACCATGATTCCAGAGGTCTGATGATGAAATACACGACCCACTTCCTGACAGACGGGACGGACACAGGTACAGAATAAGATCGACATTTCTGGACATGGTCAGGATGAGTTTGCTTTGCTTGACCACGTATGTGTGTGGCACATATGTGTTACTGCCCCTGACGCAGTGATGTCATTTTGGCCTTCTTTGAGTACAAAGGACAACAACCAACCATATGTGCAACACGTTTGTTTTTCAGGGTTTTTTTGTTTTGTTTTGAATGAGGAGATTGGAAAGAGAGAAAATTAATGCTTTTCCAACCGACAAAAAGTACAATAAAATGAAAGTCACACCAAAAAATCAAAATGATGTGACAAGATGGTTTATATTTAGAACAGTATCAGACCATCACTATTTGAGAACAAACAATTCAATAAATAAATCAAGGAACTGTGATTTCATTGTAGGAAACTCCATGCAGACTATAAGCTGTTTACAACAGCACATAAGCTGTAGGGCACTGCCCGTGAGAGGCAGTGATTTTCCTATGGTCACAAAGTTAATAATTGTCTTAGAGGAGGGATCTGACTCCAAGCTCAGAGCTGTCTCCATGACACCAGGTTGCCTCAAAAGAGAAAGGATTAGGAGCAGCCAGGTGGCGCAGTGGATAAAGCCCTGTTCCCTGGAGTCAGGACCTGAGTTCCAATCCAAACTCATACACTTACTAGCTGTGTGACCCTACACAAGTCACTTTACCCCAATTGCTCCCCCTTCCCCCCACAAAAAAAAATGTTGAGAGAGAGAGAGAGAGAGAGAGAGAGAGGATTCTTTTTTTTTTGTCGACATTTTTTCTAGATGGTAACTGTTCCTGACTGAGTCCCTTATGACTGGGAGTGGACTGTAAGAACCATTTATTCCTGCAGATGCTAGAAAAAGAAGCTTCTGGTCTAGTTTATTCCTTGACAGAAGCAGGAACAAGTTTGAAGGTTTTAGAATTGGAAGTAAGTTGTAACCTGACATGTCTTGGTCCCACGACCAAGTCATAAGACCCGTGAAAGGATGAAAAGAAAACACATTTTTTCATTGAAAGAGATATATGTATCTTTCAAGTATGTATAAATTAAAAATATTAAACTAGGTTTTTAGATTACATATCAGTATTTTGGGCAAAATCACCTACCCCAATTCTAGTGACAGGTGAGGCATGTTTGGTTAACTCTGAAAAGTAGATCACAATTGCTAATTTGGTTAGTTTACCTTTTTCCTGCCTTCTCCCCTATATACTCCCTCCCAGCAAAATGATGACAATGACTTCTACTGTATGGAATATGGAAGTATTTTCAAAGTGCAAGCTTTCACAGGTGGTGGTGGTGACTGACAAATGCTGTCTAATGAAATATGCATTTCCAAATGTTACTAGGCAGCAAGATAATACAGCAGATAGAGTACTGGGCCTAGAACCATGAAGAGTCATCTTTCTGAGTTTAAATCTGGCCTTATACATGTACTTGGCTGTGTGACCCTGGGCAATTCACTTAACTTTGTTTGCCTCAATTTCCTCAACTATAAAACAGGGATAAGAGCACCCATCTCCCAGGGTTGCTGTGAGGTTCAGATGAAATATTTGTAAAGAGCTTACTTAGAACAGTGCCAGGCAAATAATAAGCACTAAATAAATGCTTATTCCTTTCTTTCTTCATCTTAGTGGTCTGAGATTTTGCAAGGGCCTCTCTAATTCCTTCTAATTTTCACCAGCCTCAGAAGACTTCATCTTCTGTAGCATTTGGAGGAAAAAACTGAACAACCATTTGAAATAAACTAACCTGAAAATAGACAAGCGTGGTTCAGACTTGGCTTCAATTTTAAGAAGTTGATAAAGATATTAATAAAGTAGTAATGGAAGCAAAAATGTCTGATTGTTCTAGGTCAAAAAATGAGATTTAACAAAGAATTTACAGGGCAAAATTCTAGCTTCGTCCTAATTTGATTCTTTGTTCTACTTTCCAATCAATATAAATTGTTAATGAGGCATTAACATGCACACATCCCCTGAAGGCATCCTTAATCAGGGGACTAGAGGGGAAGTTAAGTTTTTGCCAGTAATATTCAACAGGAGTTCACATCTTTTACAGCATACAACTGACTGAAAGATGTAGAAAAATAAGATCCTTCTGCATTTACTATTTACTGAGTATACAAATGCTTTTAACTTGGTAAAGATGCTGCCATAAAGGCTCTCATACAACAAGGTATCCCATACACATATACGTAAATAAGCATAGTTGTTCAGTTGTTTCAGTCGGGTCTGACTCTTTGTGACCCCATTTGGGATTTTCTTGGCAAAGATGCTGGAGTGGTTTGCCATTTCCTTCTCCAGTTCATTTTACAGATGAGGAAACTGAGGCAAACAGGGCTGGGTGGCTTGCCCAGGGTCACACAGCTAGTAAGTGCCTGAGGCCACATTTGAACTCAGGTCTTCCTGACTACAGGCCTGGTGCTATGATCACTATGCCACTCTAGCTGCCCCCATGTATATAATAAGTATATGTACACACATCAAATCTAAATCTGTTTAATGAGAACAGTTTTACTCCAATGGTCAACTGTACAATTTCTACTTGAATAAAACTTGTGTGAGATTTCTTGGAAGCTAAAGGAGAGAACTGTGTTTAATGTCTCTCTGATTTTTAAAATCACATCATGGAAGAGATCCAGGGCAGAGTTCAATTTGAAGAGGGATTTCTTATAGATGGTAAGACTTTCTAGAGGTTATTTTGGAGATGACATTATGCTGACTGCATCAAATCCCAGAGAAATGCAATCTCCTTGAGACCCAAAATCACTTTAAAAAGTTTGACACCCCTCCCCCCAAAAAGAAACCAAAAACACAAAAGGGGCAGGTAGGTGGTGCAGTGGATAGAGCCCCGACCCCTGGAGTCAGGAGGACCTGAATTCAAATATGGCCTCAGACACATGATACTCATTAGCTGTGTGACCCAGGTTTGACCAATTATCCACACAGGGATAACAAATATATATTGTCTAGATTACATTAGCAGTTAGATAAATGACTTAAAGAGCTTAGCCACTAGGTGTGTGTGTGCGCGCATTTACATACACACACACACACACACACACACACACACATATATATATACACATATGTAAACTTCCACTGACATTAGACTGCCAAGAGGGAATTGCATAGCTATATTAATGACTCCATAATCCCATGTAAAATAACAGCCCCCATTTTTAATATCAATATTTTGTTGTTATATGGCTGGGAGGTCATAGATAATTACATATTCTCTGAAGAAATAAAATTGGTCTCATTCGGAAGAAAATGGAGGGAGGCGCGGTTGGTATGAACATGTCACATATAACAAATAAGACACTATGAAGAACTAAAATAAGAGACATCATTAAAAAATGTATAACTGAAAAAGACTGATAGTCATATGCTAAACTGGTATCCTTGGAATATCAGGAATAGATGAGGAAAGCCTTAGTGGATCCCACGGAAAGTATATGGGAGGGCATGGACAGGTATCAGGTTGGCAGGCTTGACTGCATGGATCTGAACTGCAGAGAAGACCCCAATCAATGGTATCACAGACCACGTGAATATTTGTGTGTGGAGCGGCATGACTGAAGTATTTTAAATCCCCCCACCCCAGCTCCTTTTCTGAACATGTCTACCTCCCCTATCTGCCTGAAACTGTGGCAGCCACTAGGTCTTCAAAAGGCACAACTGTTTTCCTCATTGTTCTGATAGCTTTTGCCTACTTGTCATAAACTAATGAAAAGCGAGAACTTTTAGACTTCTTGACGTGCATCACCTTTTACCTCCTTTAGATCACAGAATATTAGAGTTCAACAGAACCTCAGAGGCCAACGAGCCTTCACAACCTCATTTTATTAATGAACAATTTGACGTCAAATTTGTCCTAACTCAAAACACTAAACGAATGGAAGAGCCAGGGCTCCTGACTTCCAATCCAGTCCAGAATTCTTTCCATTATGTCATGATATTTTTCTCACTTGTTATTGTCAATTTGATTAGTAATCAAGCTCTACTTGAACCCTACTGTCAAATATTAACAAAATTACAACAAATTTTTATGTTCCTAAATTAACAAAGACTATTTTAGATCTTTACAGAATGGGGTTCTGCATAGAGTAGGTGCTCAATATGTTATTTTTTCAGTGCTTTAAAAACACGAATTTTAACTTTTTCCTATATGACCAACAGTGCTTGAAGGCAGGAGCATGAGAACCAACCTTCAGATTTTTTGGCAATTCCCTCTCTTCACTGCAAACAATTAAACAGTTGTTGGTGCTTCTACAGTTCTCAGAGATGGCATATTAATACCTGCTTTTCTAACTTTAAGGTGCACATGGCTGGCTGTAGATCCTTCACAGCTGCATCTTGTCAAATAGGCCAGGAATAGCAACAACTATAATTTATGTTGGGTTTTTTTTAAAATGAGAAAAAGTGTCAGAATAATATACAAGCTAAAAACTCACATCTTGATTTACTGTTTTAATTTTGAATAGCCTTATGTTGGCATGCCCATAGAATTCTTTCTGGGGTCAAATGGGCGTTTTTTTCCCCCCTTTAAGGTGATTGCTTTCCAGCCTCCCTAGGGAAGGAGCTTTGCTCAGTGCCTCACAAAATGCGAAAGTCGATTATTTAGGATTCCCACTTAACTCCAAGTAAGACCTATTATATGTATTAATCTACATAGATTAATAAGTAGAACCAAAGACTCATCATTATGGGCTGCTTTGGTTATGGATAATGAAATAAAATTGGACTCCACAAATACAATTTGAAACAGGAGTCACAGGCAGTAGCTAGGTCAAGAACTGTCACAATGGCTAGAGAGATCTTCTTCCCTTGCCCTCCCTCCAAGACTTTAGAGCAAAAATAGTAATCCAGAAGTTTTAGATGGGAATTCTGAGAGAAACTTGCCTAACTGCTGTACACTACAAAGCAATAGTCATAAAAACTATTTGGTTTTTTCTTTCTCAGAAGGAAAGCAGAAAATTTGGGAAAAAATTATTGACAGTTTATCAGATAAAAGTCTCATATCTAAAACATATAAAGAACTTTGTCAAATCTGTAAGAACACAAGCATTCCAAATTGATAAATGGTCAAAGGATATGAACAGGCAGTTTTCCAATGAAGAAATCAAAACAATTTACATTCATATAAAAATGCTCTAAATCATTATTGATTGGAGAAATGCAGATTAAAACAACCTTGAGATATTGTTTTCTACCTACCAGATTGGCTAAAATGACTGAAGGGGAAAGTGACAAATGATGGAAATGATGTGGAAAACTTGGCACACTAATTCATTGTTGGTGGAACTGTGAATTGCATTTTGGAAAGCAATCTGGAATTATGCCTGAAGAGTTATTAAACTGCCTCTGACCCAGCAACAATACTACTTAGTCTATTTCTAAAGATGAATAGGGAAAAAGGAAAATAATCTGTACGTTCTAAAATATTTATTGCGGCCCTCTTTGTGATGGCAAAAAACTGGAAATTGCAGGGATCCCCATCAATTGGCAAATGGCTGAACAAGTTGTGGTATATGATTGGGATGGAATACTACTGTACTATAAGAAATGATGACCTCAATGATATTAGAAAAACATGGAAAGACTAGCACAAAATAATGAAGAATGAAATGAGTAGAACCAAGAAAACATCGTGTACAGTAACAGCAGTACTGTTTTAAGAATGGCTATGAGCGAGTAAGTTACTTTGACTATTATAAATACCCAAATTAACTCTAAAGGACATATGAATAAAGATATTATCTGCATCCAGAGAAAGAACTGATAAATAGATACACAGAACAATTTTACACATATATACCTATTTGTATCTAATGGCAGCCACCTCTAGGGCAAGATGAAAAAAAGAGAAATTTACATGATAATTGTGTTGTATATTTGAAAAGAATAGCAAGTTGTGAGTAGTTGATTTGTAGCTTCATGTACAATCATCTTTTTTATTGTACTATGTTATGGAAATGCGTGTTTTATTCCAAAAATTAAAATTAAAAACTATTTGGTATTGGTTAAAAAATAGAAAATTTCATCAATGCCAGATATGATACACAGGATCAAAAAGCAACTGGATATAGTAGCATAACCTTCGATAAATCCAAGGACATAGAATACAGAGGGAAGGACTCATTTCTGGAAAGATGGAAAGCAGTCTGGGAGAAATGAGGCCTAATCAGCAACTCACACCATATATCATAAGGTCCAAATGGATGTATTACCTAGACATAAAAGGTCACATCATAAACAAATCAGAGGACAAAAGGAGATACCTTTCACAACCTAAGACGGGGAAGAGTTTTTCATTACACAAGGGATAGAGAAGATGCCAGGAGATAAAATGTACAATTTTGTTTACATACAACTGAATTATTTTTTTTCTAAAAAAAAAAGATTCAAAATGGAAATAATTAAGTGGGAAAATGTCTTTGTACCAACTTCTGATAAAGGTCTGCTATCCAGGACGTATACGTAATTGAAAAAAATATACAATAACAAGAAACAATCTCAATAGGTAAACAGTCAAAGGAACAGGAAGTTCTCAATGGAAGAAATCCACGTGATCAATAGCCATATGGATTAATGGTCCAAATAACAAATAATAAAAGAAATATAAATTAAAACGACTCTGAGCTTCTGCCTCACATCCATCAGACTGGCAAAAGCGATAAAAAAGGAAAAGACAATCACCGGGGGGGAGGCACAAGAACACTAATGAAATAAAGCAGTACTGTGAATTGTTCCAACCACAATAGAAAGCAATTTGGAACTATGCCCAAGAAGCAGGAGTGTGCTGGTAAATATTCAACATCTTAACCCCACCCCAAAAGTACCCACAACACTCTTTTATGTTTATTTACATTTTCTCTATCACTTCTCCTAAAGTCTAGACAATCAACAGAACAATGAATCAAGCCTTGATTTGTAGTGTTTTCCAGTTTCCAAGGTGAAAATCTGATGATTAACTCTCACCAGTTGTTCTGAGCGGGATGCAGTACACCACTGCCAAGAAGTCACTAAACTACTACATATATACTCCGATCCAATAATTCCACCCCAGGCAGATGCCCCAAAGGAGATTAAAGAGGACAAGATCCATCTGTACAAACATTAGTTATCTAAGCCACTTTTAGCCATAACAAAGAACTGGAAACTGAAGAAGTATCCATCAACTGGGACATGGCTGAACAAATCAGTCTATATGAATGTAATGTAATATTACTGTTCTGTAAGAAATGACTGAAAGGATGGATTCAGAGAACCCTGGGAATACTCATGTGAACTAATAAAGAGCGAAGTAAACAGAACCACGAGAACTATTTAATGATACAATGTCCACAACTTTGAAAGACTTCAGAAATCTGATCAATGCCCAACCATGACACCAGATGACTGATGATGAGATGAGCCTCCCACCTCTTGGTGGAGAGGTAACAGACTGTAGGTGCAGAAGGAGACATATATTTTCAGACATGACCAGTACAATATGAATATACTTTGCCTGATTATATTTATTTGTTACAAGGGAGTGTTCCGAGGGAGTAGTGATAATTCTACCACCTCCAAAAAAAGAAAAGAAATAGAAGAGTGAAAAAAGAAAACCACTTAGAAAGCAAAAGGACAGAGCCTAACAGGGCAGAGTTTGTATTACCACAATACATTTCTTATATAGATATAAACATATTCTGTATAATCTATATTTTAAAAAGCTGTATGTAATAGAAAAAAATACAAGGCAATTGAGAAGAATCATTGTATAGCTTTGACTGTCATTCTTGGCCCTTATCAAATCTTTTGAGATTGAGATTTCACCACTATTAAGTTGGGGAAAGTTTAACTTGATTAGGTGAATCACAATCCATTATTGCTGGAAAGGAGGAACACGATAGAGTCTAATATTAAAGTTCACAGACAAGTAAAGCTAGAGAAAATGCAAACATACCACTGTTCTTCTGGCTAGCTCTATTTCTCCAATTTTTTCCAGCAGGTTATAGATAAGATCAGTTTGAATGAGGGCTTCGGTGATGGGTGCAGTGTGAGTTTCATTTCCAAGGTAATCAATCAGATCAAAGGCCTTTTTCAAAGGCACCTTTCCTAGGCTAAAGTGTCAGAAAATAGGGAAAAAGAATTAATCAGGAAACAAACCAATTGTATGAAATCTAAATTCATTCACGGCATCTAGAAAAAAGTAGGTTTAAATTTTCTTGATCAAGTTTAGGCAAGGATAAAGATGAAAACATATTTCACAAGGAAGGGGCAAATGGAATGATAAGAGTTAATTTTTGAACCAATAAATCACTTGAAAATAGCTGCTCATGTGGGAAAAGTATTAAATGTTCTTAGAGAGTGGGGAGAGGACTGATTTCAATTTAGACCTTCTGGAGATAGGTAGGAGAGGTAAGCAATATTATTATTTTCCTTTTGGCATACATTTTTTGGACTTTTCACAAAGTTGTTAAGATGTTTTACAGAACTCATTTTTCAGAAAATATTTTAGAGTAGTGAGGGGAGTTATGCTCATGATGGAGAACCATAAAAGTGGGAAAACATTATTCAATATAAAGGAAAATAAGTGATGATCAATAGCTGTCCAAGCACCCCTCCAAACAACAATTAATCCCCACTGTTTTCAGTCAAAGGTCCATCAGAAATAGAAAAGCAAAATATCTGTTTATGTACTAAATTTTGGAGCTAAATAAGACTTTACCCTAGGACCCACATTTAAACATAACAAATTTCAAAACGGCATAGAGATTTATTCAAGCCATTTCCCTGCTGGAAAAAAAGAAAAAACGAAAACAAAACCACAATAGTTCACTACCGCCTATTGAATCAAAGCCTTCCTTAATTTGGCATAACCCTACCTAGCTACTTTTGTTTATCCTAAGACCTCCATACTCCAAAATAAATCTCCTTTGCCCCAGTCACTCCAGTTTCTCCTGAGTGTTCTCCAAACTGAATATTCCTGCTTCTCTGACCTCACTTATGCTGGTCCTCCAGCCTAAAATAAACCCTCCCTTACAGAAGTCCATCCTAATCTTCCCTATCCTCCAAGGCCCAACTCAAACTATCTCTCTGTTGACTGCTCTAGTCCACTACTGATCTCTCTTCATTTAATACCACACAGCTTAGCATTTATTCATCTGCAAATCTCCTCAATATGACTGTAATCTTTAAGGTTAAAGGTCACATCTTACATTTATTTCATATGTCAAATTAGGGTCAAACCACCTAACATCTCCTAGACAGTTTAAAGTTCTACAAAGGATTATGCATCCCATGGTCTCATAGTCATTCTCAACCTTAAGAAAGAGAAGTACATTTGAAAGGAAAGAAAGAGAAACAGCAGCGGTCTAAGCAGAGCTGTGTACCAGCATGAGAAACCCAGGAACCTTATCAGATGTCACTGAAGTTAATGAGTAAAAATGAACATTTAAACTAAAGGCATTTAAAAAATAATTTCCTTAAAAACAAGACTCTTCTTTAGTTTGAGCTGTGCCTCCTTTGCAAAGCTTCCTTAACTGTCATCCTCTGAACACCTTTAGCAATTACTAGTTTCCTCATCTATAAAATGGCTATAAAAATGGCACCTACCTCCCAGGGCTATTGTGAGGATCAAACAAGATAACTGAAAAGAATAGCACAGTGGATAGAGTGTTGGACCTGGAGTCAGGAAGACTTCTCTTCCAGAGTTCCAATCTGGCCTCAGACATTTACTAGCTTAACCCTGTTTGCCTCAGTTTCCTTGTCTATAGAGGGAAAGCCAAACCACTCCAGTACCTTTGCCAAGAAAACCTCACAAGAGGTCATGAAGTGCTGAACACGACCAAAAAACGACTGAACAACAACAATAATAGCACAGTGCCGAGCATGTGGGAAGAGCAATATAAATGTTAGTTACCATTACCCTCTTCAATATAGTAGTATATTTGTGGCATATAGTAAGCAGTTAATAAATGCTTGTTACTTGTTGACTGAATTACAATTCATTTAGCAACCGCTGTCTTTATGCTGATTGCTCTTCTATATAATGCCTAAAATATACACCCTACTACTCACCTCTTCCTCTTACAATCCTTTGAGACTCAGGTAAAATGCTACCTTCCTACATAAATTTTTTTCTGATCCCCCCCGATCGATAGGACCTTTGCCACAAAAAACTACCTCATATCTCTATCTAAATACATATATATTTAGATGTTGACTCCCTCGCTAGACTGTAAGCTCCACGAGGGTGGTCTTTTACTACTGACTTTGAATTCCCAGCACCTAGCAGTTTGCTGGCTAAGTGTGATATCACTAGTTTTGTTATGAATTATGACTTAAATCCTTTATTTAAATTTATATATTTTTCGTGTCTTCTCTCTTTAACTAGATTCAAAGATCCTTGGGAACAGGTGGTGGGTTTTACACTTCTGGATAACCCCTCCAGCACTCTGTAAAGTATAATTCATGGTAGGGAGTAAATATTTATTGATTTGATTAGGACACTTATAAGTAACATTTTTCAAGGACTCAGGTCAAGAAGAACTAACTCCTTACCTTGAAAGTTCAAATATATTGTTGATAAGGCCAGCTCGGTCTTTGTCACTCAGGACACTAATGTTTCTTTGTAATTGCTTAATTAATGCTTCCCAGTCAGGATCTGCATAGTGTACTACGTAGTATCCAGTCATATCCACATTGAACTTAAACCACTGCACGTCTTCTGTAAGATTGAGGACATCTAATTCAGACAAAAGAGGGAGAGAAAGGAGAGAAGAGTAGACCATCAGTTTCATTCTATTTCAAAATTAGCAATCTCATATTTTAAAAATAATCATTTTCCTAGGAAATCAATTCTATATTCCCTATTAGAGTTATTATCCTGCTTATAAAACAAAAATGTAGTAGTGAAATAAGCTTATTACATCTATTTCTCTAAAATTTCTTAGAAAACCTTTAAGTGGCAGAAGGCAGCAATGTAACTGGCTACTCCAATATTTTTCTTGAAGGTCAAAGAACATAATTAAGGTATTTATCCAAATACCTGACATCACAGGAAGAAGTAGTTACACTAAGCCAGGGGTAGGGACCTCTAGGTCCTGAGCCCAAACTTCACAGAACAATTCCCCTTAATGAAAAGATTTGTTCTGTAAAACTTGGACTCACTCAAAAAGCCTCACCTAAGGACCTAGAAGGCCACAGGTTCGCACCCCTGCACTAAGCAAATAAAGGAAACACTGTTATTGTGTAAACAGGTCTGGAAGAGGACTTAAGAATGGTAAGCAACAGTTTAGTCTAGGATGGTGAAGGAGCAGTAAAGACCATTCCATAGAGTGTTTTCTATAAGGAGAACATTCCCTGTGTTTCATGGTTCAAATTCTTTGTCCGCTGCTTACTACCTCTGTGACCCTAAGCAAGTCTCTTAAGCTTCAGGGGGCTCAATTAACTCTTTAAATTGAGGATAAGAGGGCCTCTGAGGTCCCTCCCTCTCAGCTCTAGACTAGGCCTACTGAGTGTAAAAGAGCCCCAAACCTACTTTAGATGAGATTTAGAAGCTCAATGATCCAATTTCTTAGGGGGAACAAGAGACTCCCAGCAACACGCTCTTGTTAGCAAATGAAAGGCTTTCAGTTCTGCTCACTCCAAAATCGTGACTTCCAGTTTTCTCTGATGAATATTCTCAAATCTAACACATTCTCAAATCCTGGCTACCAGGTCAACTTAACATTTAGAAAATTCAAATATGGCACTTGTCCTATCACATAGTATAGAATTATACTTAGTTATCCCCACTCTTGCACAGTTGTGTTTTACTGTCAAAATAACTTAAAAAGGAAGCCTGCAAACACTTGCTACAATAGCAGTGACCTGCCTATGAACCCTCTGTGCTTTCTCTGCCACAGACCAAAACTGCTCTAATGTAGTCTAAGGTACTTCTCCCCAATTACACTCAAGGGCAAAGTGAAAGAGTAATTATGATGATGATGGCAATGACAACAACGATGATGATAATGATGAACATAAGCTAGCATTTTTAACAGTGCCTACTCTATAATAGTGTCAACTATTGCCTCATTTGATGGTAGGTACTATTTTTATCCCCATTTTACAGATGAGGAAACTGAGGCAAAGAGTGGTTCAGTGACTTGCTCAAGGTCAAACAGACAGTAAGAACCTGAGGCCAAATTTGAACCTGGGTCTTACTGACTCCTTTGCATGCCACTGAAGGGGTAGACCTATGGATTTCACTCAAATATATACGGTATATCTCAGGAATTATAACATGTGCTTAGGTTCTTCTTTCTCTCTCTCCACACACACTTATGGAGACCTTAACTCAAATTTATGTATCAATCCAAGAGCAAAAAGCAATGTCCCTAATTGGTAATGCACTGATTTCTTCTTTTCTTCGTTCTTCTTAAGAGCTGAAAAGAATTCTTCTGACTCAATCATAGGCAGCTGTGGATAGAGCACCAGGCCTAGAGTCAAGAAGACCCAAGTTCAAATTTGGCCTCAGACACTTACTAGCTCTGAGATCCTAGACAAATCACTTAACCTCTGTTTGCCTCAGTTTCCTCATCTATGAAATGGAGGTAATACCACCTGTATCCCAGAGTCATGAGGATTAAATGAGACATTTGCACAGTGCCTGGTACATACTAGACACTATATAAATGCTACCTATCATTATATTATTATTATTAGTCAATAAACATTATTATTAGTCAATAAACCTACTATGTGCCAGGTGCTATGCTAAGCTATAGGGATACAAAAGGAGGCAAAAGACAATCTCTGCCCCCAAGAAACTTACAATCTAATGGGACTCCTAAATTTTAGCACTGACTCCTAGATCAAGCAATGTCTCAGTGACCAGACCATCACTGCTAATATTAATAAATATTGCAAATGTTTAGATGAAAAAGACCTATTAAGCTTAAAGTGTCCTGTGTTAGTTAGCATCTCTGCATAGATGGGAAAATCTAAATGATTTAATCTTTTATTAAATCTGTAACTAGTAGAATTTCAATTGTCAATATTAATATGGTAGTTACACATACAGTAATACATTCATTAACATGTTAATTAAATAGGCTGATTATACTAACATAATCATTAATTATTTATTAATGAATATTAAATGTAATACATTAACATAGTAGTCACAAATGGCATAGGCAGATTAGATGGTCAGGCTTACTCCTTTGCCAAACCTGAATATAGTTGTCAGGAACAGCAGAAGCAGCAGAAGCCATGCCAAGTGGGAGATATTTTAAATTTATCTCTAACGAAAAAAAGTTAGCTTTATTCATTGGCTAATCTGGAAATTCTACTAATCTTCAGCTAGCTTAACACAATCCTTGCTGACCAGGATTTATTAAAATGTGCAGGTTGGTAGACTTATCTGTGAGCCAAAAATCTTTCTTAGTTGGGGAAGAGTCAGGGAATGCTAGAAGTGGGACAACTTTGTCATAGGACTGACTGGAAGGAAATGTCCACTTACAGACGGTTGATAAGCAACTTGACACAGTGTCAAAACAGCACGAGAGTCCAGACGGTAGAATGCTGTTGGCATTAGGATATCAGCATACAAAGGAATGGGACGAATGCTATATTTAAAAAGAGGAACTATTTTAAAGAAATCGCTGAGTTCTGTTTGTCTTTTCCATATCTTCCAAATGATTTTGGATAGTGACTCAAACTACAGGCATGGAGAAATAGCGAAAATGTACAAGAGTAACTACACCCCATAGTAAAACCCAGAGAAGGCAACTCTGGCGTGTTCTGAATACAATCAGTGGCTGAATAACTTTCATTTTTTGCACACAGTTAATGATCAAACTGCAAACTTAAATGCAGATGAAACAACTCTATTGGTTTATAAAGTATTTGTCAGAGTAACGAAAAGTCAATCACTGTTTTTATAAAATGGTAGAGCAGTAAGAAATCTGTCTGTCAACAAGCACTTATGTGCTCACTATATTATTGTCTGATACTGTGCAAAGTTCTGGAAACAGAAATAAAGACAAAAATAGGGTTCCAACATTCAAAGAAGTTATATTCTTCAAACTCTCTAGGCTGCCCTGCTGACCCATCTCCACAAAGCTTTGTCTACCACGCCATAGAAAACTGTTCACCTTGGAAGCTCACTCCACCCTTGGACCACTGGGTGACTTCTCACACTGGAAGTATCCTACACCCCTGTGGCTACTCTCTCTGGCTAGCTGGTTCTTCCCAAAACTTGCACTTTAAGGAGGCAGCCCAGGATAACTGTATTTTCATTCCTCTCCAGGCTGCACTGCTGACTCATCTCCAAAGGACTTTTTCTACCATACCCAAGCCAGGTACCTTTACCCCGCTTCTCCAATAAGGACTGTCTTTCTTTCTGCTCGTATTTATTCCCAGCACTTAACAGAGTCCCTGGAACATACTAAGGGCTTGATAAATGCTTGTCAACTGATATCCTAATGGGGAAGACAGCATGAAAATTATATATGTGCAAGATATATCAATCAATCACTCAACATTTACTAGCCTACTACAGGCTAGACATGGTGCTGAGTGCTATGGATACAAAAAGGCAGAAAACAGCCCTTTCTTTCAAGTTTCTCACAATCTAATGGCAGGAGACAACACACAAACAAATGTATACAAATAAGTTATGTATAGGATAAGTAGGGAATAATTAACAGAGGGAAGGAATTAGAATTAAGAGCAGTTGGGGGGGGCAGCTAGGTTGTGCAGTGGATAGAGCTCCGGCCCTGGATTCAGGAGGACCTGAGTTCAAATCTGGCCTCAGACACATAGCACTTACTAGCTGTGTGACTCTGGGCAAGTCACTTAACCCCAACTGCCTAGAAAAAAAAAAAGAGCAGTTGGGGAAGGCTTCTTATAGAAAGCAGGATTTTAGCTGGGACTTCAAGGAAGCCAAGGAGGTTAGTAGTTAGAGAAGAGAAGAGAGAATATTCCAGGCATAGGGGAAAGCTAGAGAATATGCCCAGAGCTGAGTGATTTGTCGTGTTCATGCAACAGCCAGAAGGCCAGTGTCACTGGATCAAAGAATATGTGTCAGGGAGTATATAGGAAGACTGGGAAGGTAGGAGGGTTATGAAAGGCTTTGACTGCCAACAGAAGATTTTCTATTTGATCCTGAAACTGACAGGAAGCCACTAGAGTTTATTGAGTGTGGGGGGAAGGATGGGGAGGGAGTGGCCTAGTCAGACCTGCACTTTATAGGAAAATAACTTTAGTGGCTAAATGGAGGCTAGATTGAAGTGGGGAGAGGTTTCAGGCAGGCAGAACGACTAACAGGCTATTAAAGTAATCAAGACCCGAGGTGATAAGGGCCTTCAACTAGAGTGATGGCAGTTCAGAGGAGGAAAAGAGGCACATTAGAGAATGTTGCAAAGATGAAATTTACTGATCTTGACAACAGACTGGACATGGAGGATAAAAGATAATGAGATGTCGAAGGTCTGGGAGGATGGTGTGATGCTCTCAACAATAATAGGAAAGGTAGGAAAGGGGGAAAGTTTAGAGGGAAAGATGGTAAGTTCTGTTTTGGACATGTGGAGAACTGGACATCCCTTTCAAGATGTATGAAAGGCAGCTGGAGATGTGAGACTGGAGATCAGCAGAGGGTATAAGAGAGGACAGGTAGACTGAGAATAGCCATCATAGAGATAATAATTAAATCTACAGGAGCTGATGAGATCACCAAGTGAAGCAGTACAGAGGGAG